GCACACAATCTTTCAGAAGTCTGGCGGAACTCATACATTGTTCCACAGGTAAAGATGCATTTTAAATTCTGAAAAATATTAATTACATATTATTCTTTATGCTACTGTTTAATGAATAATATACCATAGTTAACCTAAAATAAATATAAAATGTTTTTAAAAAATGAGTAATCTTGAACATTACACTTATCCCTTGTGGAAAAACTATGCATATGCTTTTATGATTTACACAATACTACAGTGCCTTGGAGAATTATTGGCACCTTTCATGAAAATGAGCCAAAATGAATATATAAATGAATGCAATGAGTGATATTTTGAACTTAAACAAATGGTTAATGCAAAACATGAGTTTGTATATCATTAATTATTTCTATTTTTGGATAATGCTTGGACAGTGTATTGTGCATGTGTACTGCGTTCTTGTTCCCGATGGTGTCAAATTTGGCTTGGATGTGCCAAGGCTTTTTGTAAATCATCCATCTCCTTATGTATAGATTCGTGTAAGTCTAGTTTGCTGATGGGCTGAGGCAAACTCAGATCAAGGTGCAAAAAGATCATCCATGTATCTGTCTGTGTGTAGCAGAATCTTCTTCCTGTTTTTGGGGTGATTAGTTCCATTTTCTAGATTGCAAGTTTTGCATTTGTTGGCCATTATATCTTTCACAAATCAGTTTTATCCACAAAATTCTCAGGTTCTTCCACTTTAAAACCTCTTCTCAGAGATTCATCCTTTTTCTTTAGTCAAATGTTTTAGCAGCAGAATTCGGGCATGTTAAGTCCTTTCAATTATTGTGGTGTTTAAGAACTCATGTTGCATAACAAAAAGAAATGTTTATTTTATGCAATCATTTTTGCTTACTTTTATGAAGTTTGCCTTAAAAAACTGAAAAATTCATATTTTTAAAGACTTTGAGCCATTTCCTGTCTCATTATTTACACTGACTCTGCATATGCAAACATTAGCTGTGCGGATATATTTGCTTTTTCCATGTCCTCATACATTCCCTTACTGTCTCTCTCTGCAGAACAGAAATAACACAGGATGGAAAACACATCTGAAGAGTTCATCAATTTCACTTCAGCTTTGTCTCCACTGGGTACAAGTGACTGTTTAAAAGACGATACATATGAAATTATATTGTGCTACTCTGTTATGCTACTCTGCTTCATTGTGGGAACACCAGCCCATTTGTGGTGTCTCTGGTCGTATCATCACTTTGACTGGAAAAGCAAACAAAGTGCACTTTTCCTTCTGAATCACACGATAATGGAGCTTCTCTTCTGCATGGAATGTGCTCTTGAAATACTGTATGTATTCTGCTTCAAGAATGACAAATTGTTAGTTGCAGTTACTTTTATTTTTGGCCTGTGTTGGACTGGAAGACCGCTGATACAAACCTGCATTTGTATTGAACAATACTTGGCAGTGCTTCATCCAGTAACATTCTTGAGATATAAGGATATAAAGTACTGGATTGCAGCAGTTGTACCAGCTTGGTTGGCAGCCTTTGGATATGGCCTGCATGAAACCATGGAACTGATATTCCCAGAGCCTGTTATAAATGTTGTCCTCTTTACAGCATTGGCTGTGATTTCATTCTGCTGTGTGTCTGTGTTGTGTGCTCTGAAACACCCAGGGCCAGGAGATATGCGTATGACCAAGCAGAGAGGTAGAGATGTAGGCAACCTACAAAAGAAGAATGCCTTCAATATGATCGTTTCAGCATTGCTTATAGTCTTGTTGACTTACCTCCCTTACCTAATAGTTAGCATATGTGCTGCAGCACAAATAGATAAAAAAATGCTTTATTGTAATATCCTTCCCTTTCTGAGCTCTTTTACTGTTTATGGTGTGATGATTTCACCTGTGCTGAAAATGTACAAGGAAGGCCATTTAAAATGCTTTAATCGGTCAAATTAAGGGCAATCAAAGAGACCTCATGAGGTGGAGTTAATAAAGCAATAAGCATTAAAATAATAGCTGACTTTGATTGATTTTACTTTGAATACAGAGATGAGTGGAAGGGTTGTACGTCAGGCAGTGTAGAGCTCACAGCTCTAGGGTCCCTGGTTTGATCCTGAGCTGGCGTTGCTGTCTGAGTGAAATTTCTTTGCAGGTCCTCCCTGTGTTTGCATGGGTTTCGTCTGGTTTGTGTAGTTCTTCCGGGTTCTCTAGATAGACTCTGTGACCCTGCCCAGGACAAAAGCGGTTACTTAAGATTGATGAATGAATAATAATGTCTATTTATATACTAAATTTAAATTTGTACAGCAAAGTAAAAAGTACTTTACATACAAATAGCATTAACTACTGTGTAAGCTATGCTGTGCTGTAACCCATTACACACATTCTCTCTCTCTCTCTCTCTCTCTCTCTCTGTCTCTCTGGCTCTGTATTGATTTTTGGTTGCTGTTGTGCATGTTGCGGTTTTAAGGTTGCTCTTAAATGTTTACTCTTGTTTTATTTTACCAAAAGATACACTATATGGCCAAAAATTTGTGGATACCTGAACGTCACACCCATATGTAGGCCTTCCTTAAACTGTTGCCATAAAGTTAGAATCACACAATTATATAGAATGTCTTTGTATTCTGTTGCATTAAAATTTCCCTTCACTGGAATAAAGAGGCCCAAACCTGTTCCAGCATAACAACGCCCCTGTGCACAAAGGGAGGTTCATGAAGACATGGACTGCCAAGGTTGGAGTGGAAGAACTCGAGTGTCCTGCACACAGCCCCTGACCTGAACACTTTTAGGATGATCTGGAACACCGACTGCACTCCAGACCTCCGCGACCAACATCAGTGCAGACCTCACTGATGCTCCTGCGGCTGAATGAACACAAATCCCCACAGCCATGCTCCAAAATCTAGTGGAAAGCCTTCACAGAAGAGTGGAGATTATTATAACAATAAATTATAATAAATGTGGAATGAGATGTTCAAAAAGCACATACGAGTGTTACAACATTTAGTCATTTAGTTAATTATACGTTCATGGAAATTATTATAAATCATGAAAAGTAAATGTAATATTTATTTCTTCAGCTTTTCACTGGCTTGCTTTATAATAAAAGCCTCTTTGTTTTGTTCCTGCATTTATTTACTTTTTTTTTTTTTTGACCTGTCCGCCTGGGGACTTTTATTTTGATGAGTGTTTAGTAACCCGGAAGTTGCTGCTACATTGTTTCTCGCCTGATACTGGTTCAAAAATGGCAGATGTCAGAACCCGATGGAGTATCACCTGCGTCCCGTTCATTTTCTCCGGATTTTTGGTGATTTCCTGAAGTGCGTGGAGTTTAAAGCGGAAAGTCACGTTAACCTTTGTCGTGTTATCCCTTATTATTTGCGGTATTTCACATTGGCCGCGCGCGACTTGTTGCTAAGCAAACTGGCTAATCCGAAATTTGTAAACATTGGCTAGCTAGCGATTCATTCCCCGGGCTAGCTAAGCTAACGGTTTAAAAAAAATGGCCACTATGGAGAAATTAATGAAAGCCTTCGAGTCACTCAAATCATTCCAGCAACAACAGCAAGGTCCGCTGTCTGCAGAGGAGCTTGTCCAGAAACAGTAAGTAAAGATGTGACATTTTCACCAAGCATAATGTTTGTATTGGTAGCTAGTTAGCTAAAGTTAAGTGCTGACAGCGCTAGCTTATCCTAGCCGTTAACGTTTTCACGTGACCTATTTCTGGTCGAGCGGTTTCTAATCCTGATCCTGAACTAATGTTAACATGAACATTCCACCTGCACTGATCTCTCTCACACACACACACACACACACACACACACACACACACGCGCGCGCGCGCGCGGTTAACCTGATGAAGCGCTTATTTAACACCGTTATGTGATGTAAAGTGTACTTAAAGGTGCAATAGTCAATATTTTTCATTTCGTACTAATATAAATAATGTGGAAAATAATGTAGAAATGATAAATAATAATAGTTTAAGATGTTGTCTCAGGACAAGTGTATTACGTGGATGAAAAAAACCCAGTTTGGAAACCTGACTTCCGGTCCGGAATTGTTTGTTTGTATTTGGAATGGCCTCTTGTCAGTCATTTTAAAGACACGCCCCCAACACCCTGTCACATCCTCATACATCATTCTAAACATGCAGCTTCTCCTCATAGAGTTGTAACTTTGGTTTTAAAGCATTTTGTTTTTGTTGCAGAACAAGAACACTCACATAAATATACATACAGAGAATTTACAAAACATACCCGCTGTTCCAATCCTAGTAATGCCAAAGAAAATACAAAAATGAACCAAATACATTATCACTTAACGTATTAATAACTTATAAAGAGGAAAGATTTCAAGTATTCTATACAATCATTTTGCTTTTTTGATTTCTTGGATCTTTTAGAGTCTAAGTATCTTGCATCAGTTCAGTTTTATATTGCAGGATGTTAGGTTTTAATGCACTTGAATGTCCGAGTGCATTGGAAAGTGGTGTCATAACAGTTCTTCATAAGGGTCACTCTAGTTAGCATGCTAACTTTAGTTTAGCCACAAGCCATAAGTTTTGGAGGGTGGAGCTTTGTGGAAATGGGAGCAAGCTCAATGAGAAAAAAAAAATTATTCAAATCTTATTCAGCTCCACCCATTTAACTGAGACTGATTTTTCACAAATCTTACCTAATGCATCTTTAAGTAAGGTACTGTAAATGCTTTAGCTCAATCCAGTTTTATTTGTACAGCATTTTAACAGTAAACATTGTCCTAAAGCAGCTCTACTGAAATCCGGATGGACAGTACTGTGCAAAAGTCAATGAAGAAATGCTGTAAATATGTGAATATGTGAATGCTGTATGTATCGGCTGCTCCTGTGAGGGGTTGCCACAGTGGATCATTGGTCCATATATTTGATTTGGCACAGTTTTTTGCCGGATGCCCTTCCTGATGCAACCCTCCCTAATTTTTATCCGGGCTTGGGACCGGCACTGGGAGTGCACTGTCATGTTCAACCCCACTATCATGTTGGGGTCGGTTCCCTGGCTGGGAATTGAACCCGGACCGCGGCGGTGAGAGCGCCAAGGCCTAACCACTAGTCCTCCAGGAACCCTAAAGACGCCTTCAAAAATAATGAAATTAAACATTTCTACATAGAACAATACTCTAAAGAAAAAACGTAAACAGTAATAAAGTAAGCAAAGTTCATATTTGGTGTGATATAGTAGCCTCAGGTACAGTTTGTGAAGTTTTGTAAAGAAATTAGCTGTAAGTTTTGCTGAGCATCATGTAGAATCTGCCACAGTTCTTCTGGAGGCTTTGACTGTCACGCTTGCAGGTAAAACCCAACAGACTTCATTGTGTTGTTTTTTGTTTTTTTTTTGTCTGAAAAGTGGTCTGTTATGAAAGATGTTACTTTCGTTACTGACATACCAACACGTTCCTGCAACATTTAATTTTTAGTTGGAAAAGTAATGTTCAGAAATATAAAAAAGTTGTTGTTCTGACTCAATAATACAGAAATTATAAAATAAACTGTAGCTGTGGATCCCTAATGAGCAAGTCGGAGGTGACAGTGGCGAGGAAACACTCTTTGAGAGGAACATTTAGAGAAACTCCAGACTCAGAAGAGAGGACTGTTCTGGGTGACACCAGAAAGTGGGATTATTAATCAGTGTCGTTGTAATTAGTGGTGTTACAGTGAGAAATTTTAATGTTTGATAACCTAATCTAAAAATATCACAGTTTCACATTATCACAGTATTAATCAACTATTTAGAAACACAGTGCAAATGATCTTGAATACTTTGTCCAAATGTTTCTTTGCACATCCTTGCATATATAACAAAAAGCAAAATGATTGCTCAAATCCCCTAATTTATCCTTATTTCTTAAAGATATTTTTTGAGAATGATTTTACCACATAATCTCTTATTATCAGCATTTGTCATGTTATAATCTGAAAGGGAGAGTGTCTGAAAGACAAGGTGACTCGCTGAGCCAAAAACAAAACATAAAAATCTAACTAGCCTAGCAGTGTTCAGCGCTCCTTAGTCAAAAATAGTTTATTTTGTGTAGTTGTGGTCAGCAGTGCTGTGTTTTTCTGAGCATTTACTAGCTGTCGTATATGATAAGGTTCTGAACATGCTAGAAGTGACAGCAGAACAGTAATATCTCGTACTATGTTGCTTTCTGACTGCATACAGTGTTTACAGTTTATTATTATTTTCACTTGCGTAGATCACATTAATAATTTTGCACAGTCTTTTGTCTGTGTTCAGTGTTTATAGGTTGCTACTTTTGTACTACCATTATCATTTTTGAGCTGTGTCTGGGTAGGAGTGTGCAGCTGTAGCACAAGAATTTCACTGTATATAGATGCTTAAAGCACTCTTTATGCACATAACAGTAAACCTGAAACTTGAACCAGTAGCGGATGAAATGGTTAAAAAAATTTGGCAGAGAATTGGAGGAGGTAGTTGTATGATTTAGGGCGAGGAGTCCAGGAGGAGGGGGCTGTGAAAATTTTGTAGAATCTCAGCCAGACACAAAGGGGATGAGAACCGCTGGAGTAAGGAGTTTGATTGTGTGTGATGAACAGGTAAAGGGCAATAGACGGAAATGTAAGTAAAATTTATTTATATAGCGCTATTCTAGATAGTAGTCACATAGTGCTTCACAGTATATGACAGTAAATGTATTTCAATCATCATTGGTGAGGTAACTGGCTGATAATACACTCTGTCTTACTGAGAAACCGTGACACTATAACAGCCCTAGTTTTCATATACAGTACAGTATATTTAGTACAGTGTGTATATTATAGTACAGTATAGTTAATGCTCCAGCTTGCATCTGCACTACTAACCAGCCAGATGTTGTAGCTAAATTTCCTGTGCAGGAACTAATGCTGCATTCGACTTACCTCGGAAATGGGAAGTCAGAGTCGGAGCTCGGAATAACGTCATTTTCGAGCTATAAAGTGAGAAGAAAAACATGGAAGACTCCATGTCTTTTGTTAGCAACAATCTACCCAGCTAACTATGATGAGTGTTGTATATTTTCCTCCTCAAACAGTGATCTGTGTAGTCAGTGTTATAGATTTAACAAGTGAATGTCTGTGTGTTGATTGATCTAAAGCAAATACTTGTATATAGACTATAACTCATTTAAAGGGAAGAAGAGCTGCTTTGTTTACTGTTCATGCCGTGAGAAGCCACGTCACTTGCTGAACTCGGGGTTGAGGAGACCATCCCGTGTAGGAAGTCCTACCTTTCCTAATCGGAGGTCAGAAATTACAAGTCGAATGCAACATAATAGCTCTACCTGGCCACTTCAGCCACAGAGTTTTACAAATAATACAACTTGACTTTGAACTTATTAGTAGTACATTGTAAATTCCAAAAACATACATTATATGTGTGGAATTCACTTTTTTGAAACAGTGTTGCAAATGATTTTCATTGTCACAGTATTGACACTTGTAACTCGAGGTGCGCTGATCTGATATTCGGGCTGAAATACTGGACTGGAGTCAGATTTGATTTATTTGCTGATTATCATGTGAGCACTGGTGATGTCTACTGGCACGCCACTTGTCTTAAAGCCTGTCGCAGCATGACCTGTGAGATTTTGCATTACTCGGCGTAAGAAGTTTGCGCCAACGCCAACATGGAAAGGCGGCAGAGGTGTATCCTCAGTGTAATGGATCTGGAGCATCAAAAACAAAAAAATTAAACATAAAGTCTTAGTAAATGTCACTTTGATTAGATCTCTGAGTCTGCTTTTTTTTGTTTAAACATGACATGCACGTCTTAGACTTATGTGATGTGCGAATCTTTGCTCAAGGAAGTGCATGTGCATGATTTCTGCTTTCTTATAGCAAGCGTTACGATGATTTCAGCTTGTGATAAGGAGTGTTTACTGAGGTACTGTTTTGGAGCCCTGGACTGATTTTTTTTTTTTTTTTTTTTTTAACTGATGAATTGTAATCAGTGAGCACTCTCTGTTGTTTCAGAGTATGTCTATATAGCAATCTACTGATAAATGCTCATTTACTAGAGTACATGTCTGTAGACCTTACGTACGTAATAAATGCTTAACAGTGTATTAGGCGATATCACAAGAATAATTTACATGTAAGGAATGTAACACATGACCGATCGTGCTGCTATGCGAAACTAATCCATGTGCAAGTGTGGTAAGTGTGCGTATAACAGCATGATCTGAAGTGTGTGATTCTGCTTATACCACAGCGATTTGTCAAAGATTACAATGTTTAAATACATGTGTTGCATTTTAACGGTTTATAGTTAGATTAATGTTGTCAGATGTCTGAGAGACATCTTAAGAAGAAGTTACAAGTTAATTCCTGTTCTCACTTATCTTATAGCTGTGATAAACAGTTATTTCTTCACCAGTCTCTCTATCTCTCTATCTCTCTCTCTCTCTCTCCTTCCAAAAAAAAAAAACACAGCTTGTCATTTTACTGAAAAACTGGAAAGCGTAAACCCCTCTGTCCTGAAAACTTTCCTGAGAAACTCTGACTTTTACAAAGCGCTTACAACTGAGACTCCTTCCATAAATGTTAAATAAATGTCTCCTAAAAAATGTCACCACATCAGAGATTTGTTAAACATGTTTTTTTCCCCATTTGTTACTAGTCTATAGTCTTAAACTATAAAAACTATAACATATTAGACCAAACACATTAATATAAACCTGAAGTTCATGTTACAGCTGAATCTATTGTCCGAGCCATGCTGTTATGCAGAAATAATGCACACCTTCTGACCAATCAGATTCAAGAATTCAACCTCACTGTGGTATAAGACCATTTAACAAGTATACTTCGACATACAAAGAAACCTCATAAGTCCTATCTGCATAGGATCGGTGTCTCTAATAACATTTTCACACATCTCTATCATCTTCTTAAATTAACACAGGACAAACAACTTTCTGCAGAGTTATTTTCCCTTCGAACCTGGATGTTTGCAAAACATCACACATCATATACAGTTTTTACAGCATTATCAGTTTGAATAAAGAGAACATTTGATCATTTTCAATGTTTTGTCTACCTTTGGATGATTAAGAAACTGACAGTGATATGACTGTTCATTATTTAATTAATATAAACTACATGATATTGAGAAGTACATGAATATAAAGTGGTTTTATATCTGTAACTATCATTATAGTAGGATCTTTAATTAGCTTGCTGGATCAGGCTCTTCAACAGACTGTTAAGTCTAATGTGCAGAGTTACAAACGTCAGTCAGACATTATAGTGCGCCTCAAATCTTTATTGACTTGAAGGACCATTGAATAGTAATGTGTAACTTATATAATGTATAAAATGATGTACAAGCTATTTTCTCATGTGTTTTTCGGATTGTTGATTTGATACAGTACTGTATAAAAGCTTTTCATTTTTCTCTCCAGGAAAAAAGATCTCGCGACAACCAAAAAGGACCGAGTGACTCATTGTTTAACGATATGTGAGAACATCGTAGCACAGTCTCTGAGGTAGGAGGCAATCTCACAGCCAATTCATTTTAGTTTTTATAAGATTTGGTCATGAGTCATCCTCAAAAAAAAAAAAAATCATGTCCTATTCATGAGTGCTCAACAAATATACATGTACACAAGTACGCAAATGTAACTGCTGCACAAAATGCCATTCTGCCATCCTAACTATCCCAACAAGACAGAATCTTAATCTTAACCCATAGTTGAGTTCATTACTGAGGACGTGTTTATGCTGTGTACAGTGAGGAGAACTGAACAGAGCATGTTAGTCCTCGTGTCATTAATACTCAAGGAGGAAAGAACCTCATCAGTCACCTGATTGGAAATGAACATTTTAGGATATTAATATATGAACGACTGATTTATTCCGGGTCTCAGATTAACGCGGATCAAAATGCCACGCTGGTTAAAGGGCAGCTCAGCAGACATTAATATCCTCAGGATGATGACAGACGGTCAGGTGCTGTGTGAAGATTCAGAAGCGTACCAATTCACAACACGCTTAGCAGCTCCGACTGTGCTTTGGTTACTAAGGAAACCACTTTTTCCACTTTATACTTGAAAACAAACCTTGGG